TTACTAGCGATTAACGATATACCTCAAGTTTTACAATCTCCTATTAAGTGTACACTATTCGCCGATGACTTCAATATTTTTTGTAGGAACTTCAATCCAAATAGAACCATAAACTACCCGTAGGAAGCAATATTAGCACTACAAGCCTGGACATGGGTCTCAGGTTTCTCCTTTTCAGTTGAAAAATCTTAATGTACCTTTTTCACCAATAAAAGAATATTGGTAATATCACCGTGACAATGAAAAATATCCCTATTCCAAAGAAAAACTAGGTGTTGACCAGTGGCATAATTTGTAAAAAAAAAAAAAATTAGATACATATAATAATTATGTAAATCCACTTAGATGCGTTTAAATTTACACGTTTTTGTAAAATCCTGGCTTTGCACCTAGTAGTAAGCTATTATTATTAATACAATTTTCATTTTATCCATACTATTTTYATAATAAATTATATTTATTATTTATTACAAAATACAATATCATATATAATTGCAAATATCAAAATTTGATTTTATCATTTTATACTATTTTACATTATTTTTATAAATAATTTTATTTATTATTTGTATATTTATCTCCCCTATTTTACAGGCTATATATTGTAATCGTGTATATATTAACATGTGAGGGTAACTGGTACATTTGATTGAAGGCAACTGGTACATTTTGTTCTAGGTAATTTGGATTTTGGAGGGAATTGGTATAAAAAAGGTACTTTTGGGGGGCAACTGGTACATGCCCGAAAAACTCCATTAAAATATTAGGCATACTGTTCAATTCTAGAAAAACGTGGATATCTCATCTCAAGACTATTCAAAAAGATTCGCGGATAATGATTAATATCCTTGAATGTCTGGGAAAGTGACTCTTCTAGTCTATTACATAAATAAAAAGCTCTGATTCTTACTAAACTCCAATTTAATTCTTTCCTATTTATAGATACTAAGACATCAGCATTTAAAACAATCAATACTGAGCACAACACAGGACTAAGGCTTGTCACCGGAGTCTTTCGCTCCAGTCCTATTCCCAGCGTGCTTAATACAGCCGACGTAGCYCCMCATCAGGAGACTTCATAGCTCCATGCTACTCACAACCAGACACTYCCAAAATAGCCTCAAGGTATCGAAACAGACCGCAGACACCTTAAAGGACATTCTATTCCCACATATGGACGTTATAAAAAACGAAATTATACAGACGCCTGCAGCTTGATTATTAAAAAACTACATAAAGAGCGAATAAGTAAATTTTCGAAGAAAAACACCTTACCTATAACTAACAGTCAACAACTTACTTCAATCATCTTCGATTTCCACGATTATACAAAAATACTCACCGACGGCTCCAAAATGAAAAACGGTGTCGGAGCAGTGGTAGTATTTCAAGATCATGTCACCATGCTGAGGGTCCTGAGACTACCTAATTTTAGCTCCATATACACAGCTARGCAGTAGCAATTKTCTTTGCCTTGAACCTCATGAAAACAAAACGTATACAAAATCAATAATCCTATCAACGAGGAGTATTGAAAACTTTTCCAACCCAAACGAGATMACCAGGAAAATATATAATCAACTCAACGTCCTTACTCGATCTAGCTATTTAGTCACCTTAATTTGGATTCCTAGCCACAACCAAATCTCRGTAAATGAAAAAGCTGACCAAAAAGCTCGTCAAAGGTAATTCTCTGATACTATTAGGCTAATAAATAGTTTCACTCTTCACGACGCTAAATCTATATCAAAAATAAYCCCAAAMAATATATATAGCTAAGGCTATGGAAACAAGGTACCTCAAAACTAAATGAAAACAAAAATACCATCCACACATGGCCTTCTCCACCGRACTTCTCAAGAAATATGGAAACTGCAATACATAGAATGTGTATAGGACACAGGTCGCTAACATACCAGTACTTGATGAAGCAAAAAGACCCATCCATATACGCCAGTTGCGATACACTCCTATAGTCCTATATCAATCAAACAAGTTATATCCAAATGCCGTTTCTATGAAACAGACAAACGAGAAGCTGGGGTATCAAATATCATATCGGAAGTTCTCCATCCAGATACCATAAGTCATATGATGACTTTTTAAAATGAAACCAATCTTATAAATAGTTTATGATCTGTCCTTGTTTATATAGTATGTAAATACTGTATCTTTAAACATTGTAAACCTTAAACTCCTTGTATGCCAATGGCCATAGACGCCAAGAATTATTTATTTAAATTTAAAAAAAAATTTATTCATTATTATAATATTAAGGTAAGACTTAAGAACAGAGATATAAAATATATTTAAACAGTTAACTTAGCAATATACGATAAAAGGTATCTTATAGTTGACAATTGGTTTGAGATTGAGACACAGAGCCGTCTTTAGATACGATCGACGAGTGCGACGGCACAGGGCTCCAAAATAAGGGAAACGGCGCGCGGTTGTCTGTTTATGTTTAAAGTTTTAAAAAGAGGGTAAAGGGTTCCGAAATAATACTTGCACTAAGCGCTAATAAAGATATATTAAAATTTTAAGTAAATTGCAATACAACTTTCATCTTATAAGCAGCCCAGAATAGATAGAGTTAATATTTAGTATTGACGGTATTGWGCAATTTAGTATTTTACGTTATTGATGTAATCATGTAATAACTAATAATTATAGTATGACAAACCCGTTAAGGCGCCTGCATGCCAAACTTAAAATGTATACAACGCTCCAGTGATGGCGTAGATGGCGAATTAAGTAGATAGGGAGTTTAGACGATTTGAAAAAGTTAGCAATTACTATTGATTTATCAATACCTATAAATATTTTGTAAAACTGATTTAAGTATAATAAATACTATATCTAACATTTCTTAAAGTTTTTAGTTTTATAAAACCATTTTTAAGGATTATTTTATCAACTCAGAAACTACTCAGTAGAATTTTGATTTAGATACATCAAAATTTACAAAAATATCCGCTTAATAAATTTCAGTAGGTAAAAGAAAGGTGGTTCTCAATTGGAAAATAGAAGTTGGGTATCGCCACAGGAACTTACCTTAACCTAACCTTAAGTAATACAAAAAATATCAGAAATTTAAAAATATGGKCTTTAAGTTTACTTAAAAATTCTAAAAATCAGAATTTGAATAAATGCGTACTATTTGAAAGAAAAATGGGGGTGAGCATACTTAAAAAATCACCTTGTATACATACTAACTACCTATATTTTTATAGAAACATTATTGAGTCTGAGTAAATTTTGTAAATTATTATTACCTATTTACTACCTATTATAGTTTATTAATGATTATTGTGCATATTTTTTAAATATTAAAAATGCTATGTAGTTTTTCATTTTAAGGTGCCACGTTTTACTGAGGAAAAAACTGTGGGTCAGCTGATCTCCCAAACCCCTGCCTAGGTATTATGCATAAATAATAATATAAAAACAACAATAAGTTCAATTTATAAAAACAAGAATTAAAGATATAATATATTATATTACTCTAGTAATTACTAATTTGGCAATTTTTTCTTTTTCAAATTCATTTTTTGATATTCTATGTTTGAAAACTGTCTCATCCTTTTTGTAATGTAATACCTGATGATATGAACATTATGATTTCATTTTTATGTTCATCACACAAAAATGTTAGGAAACTGGTATTATTTTCTAAAAATCATCAATTGTATCCTAAAATACAATAGGCATAGTA